CCAACATGTGTGATCATGAAGGGCCAAAGGGACCAGCCTTTAAACACCAAAGGCAGGGAGAAAAGTCATATCCTTGTCAATGAGGGTGGTGCGCGATGGAGACCCAATGTCCATCTCCAGACAACCGAAATCATCTTTTAATAACAGGGTAACTCAAAATGTAAAGAATTTTACATTTGAGAACTGCGCCCTTTCAGAAAGTGTCCCTATGAGACGGAAAGTGGACAACAGTGGATTTAAAGCCTAAGTGAGAAGTTTAGGGGACAGTGAGACTAAATAGCTTGGAAGAAGGAGAATGAAAATAATGAGAATGTTGACATTGAAACTAAAGAAAACTAGGAGTATGACTAATCAGCATGTGTAAAACTTGTTGAATGGGAACCTATTTTTGCTATATAGACTTTCACCAAAAATACGTATTTAAAATGTCTTCCAGCATTGGTTTGCAGAAATCCGTTATAATACTTGCACCCTTTTGAGCATCAGTGCCAGTTGAAAATAAACAGTCTTGGTGAGGCTTGGCTATAAGACAGGCTGAGTACACCAGTCCCCAGTCAAGTCACAGCTGAGTTGTTATTTCGCATGAAAACTATGCTGAAACTTCTTCCAAATGTATTTCCATGATTGTGGAGTATTTCTAAGTTAATATATTGGGAAGGAGAAGTTTGACCTTGAATTCACGTAAGCCATTGTGACTTTTCCGTTTCTGTGGCAACACTATCCATTTATGACAAAAAAGAAGTCGTGTCAATGTGAGTCACTATTTACAGAGTACCAAATGTTGTCAAGGGATGAAATATGCATTTCATATTTTCTGGCTTTACATACAGGGGATTTTAATTAAATTTAATTAATTTTAAATATCAGTGTTCACAGACTTCAATTTGAGTTGATCTTTTAAATTAGCCATTAAAAAGGTGTTTTGTTTCTCTTACTAGTCAGGATTATCTAACCACTGTAAGTCAATCTCCCTTCTAAACATACTTGTTCCCCATTTTAAGCTCATCCATCTCTGTGGATGGCAGATAATTAGGATTTTGTGTTTTAAAGAAAAAAAATTATTTTGACATTTTGTTTATACCATATAAATATCATAAAATGGTTACTTCTACAGCTGAAAGAGACACATATTTAGCCTTTTAACATTTAACTTTTTATTTTAAAAAACTAAAATTTTCATCAAAATATCCCACTGTATTTAAGACGATATAAATTACATTGTATTGTATAAGCATCATCTTGCCTTGGTATAGGTAGCTTTTTCTTATTAAATCGGAAACTCAAAAAGTTTAAGTGTTAGCAGTTAAAAGCATCCACAGTTAGGCATTAGAAAGTGAGTTAAACCGCAGAACCTGGGAATAAAATAAGTGCTATGTTTCAGAATTAAATATTATTTTTCTAATTATTATTTTCAAACTAATAGCATATGAAACATATAGATCTAGAGAAGCTTTTCAGCACCTAGAGCTAGTTAATAAGACAAAGAGAATATTTAATTCCACACACAAGAAGCAAGAAGGTACAGATTAGCATTTTTTCTTTCCCATAAAACAAACCTTAAGAAAACAGTTGTTACTGTTATTGAAGTTGCCAGAGACTCCTTGCAATTCGGGCACAGTGTTCTAAAATAGTGGACAACAAAATTAGAGAAAGCTTTCCCACACCTGCCATGAACAACCTAAGGGTAGGCAGACAGCACATTGCTTGCTATAACACACACTGCTGACCACCAAGAGACGATTGCTCTACGTGATAAAAATGCCTCTACTCTAAATTACTCAATGCTATAGGCACAGTGCAAAGGCAATTCATATTATTCAGTCATGATTGTATTCGCTTGTTCAACTATCACAAATGTTTCCTAACCAGGAACAGCAAACAGTATGAGTCAAATTTAGTGTTATCCCTTTAATGGTTTTTGCATGGAAATTATTCTTATACACTTTTTAGTACCCGTGTAAACCATAGTTTTCATTATTTCTGCCTCTGATTGTCATATCAATACAAGTAATCAAATACTCATCCATAGAGGTAGCTGCTCCAAACTGTATTCGCTAGTTTAAAACAGTCTAAAAATGCTAATGTTTACAGGTTATCAATTGTCAGTAACAAAAGCAAAATATAAGAGTCAATTAGATTGTGTGATATAGTTGGGGAGGAGCTTCAGTGTGGAGGGTAATGAACTTGTTATGAACTACTGCCTGAACAGTCTTTAAAATGCCATCTTTAGTTTAAAATCTTAAAATTTAATAAACATGTATTTTTAAAGAATTATTTAGAAAAGTACTCATATTTTTTAAAGTGCATGTGACATCTCTCATTGTGATTACAATGACCGTATCTACCTCCTAATTTGAGAAAGTAGAGCTGCACCATACTTTGTTTCTAGTCTGAGTCCACACAGTTTCAAACTGCACAATGTCCTTCAATAGAAACAGAGCTGCACGACATAAATGTGCCCTGCCCAAACCAATATCATGATTACCTTATCCCTCCATTGTAGCGTAAACACACTGGTAGTTGAAAAATAGATGGAATGTTATCTTTATTAGGGAAATCGAAAATCTTGAAAATTTTACCATATCCCTAGAGTTTTGTGGGAGAATGTTGCCCGTCTGAGGGGGCTATTCAAATCCTCTGTGGTTATCTTTCAGGGAAGGAAGGAAAGGAGGGAGGGAGGGAAAAACAATAATTCTACTAAATCTAGAAATGAGACTAATTGAAGATATATCCAGATCTATATTAACAATTTTTAAATTCTTTAAATTTACACCTCTTTCTTCTTTATAGGATCTTGCCCTTTTGTCCACAGAATTGAAGGGTAGCCACTGCAAGCTTTTTGCTGTGTTTTTAAACAAGGATGAACAGAAAAATGAAGGTAAATTAAAACTGAATTGGCCTCTTATTTTAAAATCTTTTAGTTTAAATATGTGGTTGAAGAAAAAGTAGAAATTTAAATCGAGTTTATACATTTTTACATATTTAAATTATATTAAAGTATGACATAATTTTTTCCTAAAGCATTAAAACATATACATATGACTACATGTCCTCTCTAAATATATATATTATATATGCAGTACATGATATTCTTATTTTTAAATGTGGTTCTAATAGAAGGCTACTATACTTTTACAACTTGGAGATTTATTTCTTACATTGCAATGTTTGCCCTACTTAATTCAAGACAGCAATTTTAATCTGTGAAGGTAGCAAATTCCAAATTAGAATCAAAGATAGAAACTATCTATTCTTCAGCAGACAATGTTGATCTAAATACTGGTTCTAGAAATTAGTTGGATGTACTTAGTTATGCTACAACCAATTTAAAGGTGTTTCGCGGTGGTTCAAGGAATGTCATTAAATAAAAATGGTTTTAATTTTGAAATTACAAGCTGTTTATGTACATTATAAGAAAAATAGAAACCAAGTCATTGATTTCATATATTCTGGGTTTGTTCTAACAAATATATGACAATCAATACTTTGTTAAATTATATATACAATTGACTCAATTATTCAAGGACTATTCATCCAGGGATATTTAGTGCTGATTCTCTCATTTCCTTCATGCATTTTAGACATTTTACTTTGTACTAACAATAGATAATAGGGATGTAATATTCGAATCAATCAATTTAGTAAGATTTGTTAGCTTCAGTAAAGAAAGATAAATTTGCATCAAGTAGATACATTACAGCCTTTACACTGGAGTGGATTTTCACAACGTGTACAGCTTTCATTTCTCCTGTGGGTTGAAAAACAATGGTTGACTTTACGGGGACATGTTTTAATTAAGATATATTTTGGTGAGACCAACAAAAAGGGGTGGGGGGACAAAATACAAGTCAGAGAGGAGGGTGAAAGATAGACATAAAGAAAAAGTTTCTTGAACTTTCCAAGAACGCAAGGACTACCCTGGGGATCATTCTGGCAAGTGTTCAACTCTCACAGCTTGCAGAAAAAAAGAAACCATTTCACTTAAAGCTAAACTAATTTTTGGTGAAATATGTTTACTCAATGATTCTTCCCCTTCAGCACTATAAACATGATACCTATGGATTGCTAATGGGGGGTGGGGTGGATATCACAAAATATTCAGATTATCCTAATTAGGAATACAGAATCACAGAAGCTAAGCATTCTGAGAAACCCCATCACCCAGAGCAGGAAGTCTCCTTCCAACCTCTTGAGTGACTGTCATTGAGTGTCTGCCCCAGTGGAGTCTGAGCCACCAGAGCACACGAATCCACTCCATTCCAAAACAGCAGCGTGTGCTGGAAAAAGTCCAGGCCACTGGGAGACCCTATTATTCCAGTTCCAACCTTGCCAACACTGGCTACTACTAGGGAACATGTCCGTTTCTGAATTTTAGAGGAAGGAGGCAGGGAATCTCTTTAAGTCGCTGTATAGAGAAACCAAGATCATTTGGAAAGGATCCTTGCAAAGTGTCTGGGACTGAGTATTTATTTATTTTACTCTCCTTACCTGGAGAAGATCTGTTTATGTGACATTCAGCTCTGCTTTCCTTAGAGAAACAGGTAAACAAACAAAATCTCACAGGCAATCTTCCTATTTTTTCGGGGGGAGGGCAGTGATGGGCTACCACGTCTACATGCTGAATAGCAAAAATTTAATTTCCAATTCGTCAACATTTATAATTATAGAAAAATTCTCATACCAAAGCAACAACATTTTGGTCGCCCGAGTTGACATTTTTCAGAGATAAATGGAATAACTTCTCGGTATAACTAGAGAGAAAGTACATGATATTTTCATCGGAAAGTTGCACTTTGGACACCGCAACAACTGTCTTAGTCACTGTCTCCCTTGGACTTGGCACTGGAGCCCGGGTCAGGGAATGTGGGGCCCTAGGGAGGAACTTAGAGAACCAGGCCCAGGCCCAGCCCAGCTCTTTAAATCCAAGGACACCGAGGAAGAGACTAGAAAGCTTGCCCCCTTCATTTTCCACCACTTGATATCACCGTGCTACCCTCACACTCTGGTGCAAAACCTTTCCAGGAGAGTGAAGAGGTGAGGCAATTTAAAAAAAAAACCAAAAAACTGAATTATCTAGATGATGCTGCAGTCTTACATATGGCTCAGAGTGAGCGCAAGTCAGTCTCTTCTCTGAGAAAACACAAAATACCATCGTAGACAACTGAAAACTGGGTAACAATGTAAGTTCAAATATTCAGAAAGAAGTTCCTTTTGTACTTTCAGGATTCAAGCTAACATTTTCGTATATATCAGTCTAATGAGAAAACACTTGCTATTTCAAATTAATTCTTCAACTGAAAAGTCCTAGCAAGTAATTAGAATTCTTAGAAACCCAGTCATTCATGTAAAGGGATTTCATAACTCCTGGATCAAAATTAAATGTGTCCCATTTCGTTTGGTACTATAAAATATAGAGAAGACATTTTTATACTGCACACATGTGAAAACTTAATAATTAGGTTAAAATATTTCAGGCTAAAAATAGATTTTTAAAATATTTGAATGTACGTTTAAGTAACCTCTGCTATGCTCTACCTACAAACCCCAAAAGGTCTAGAAAATAACAGCCACGGACCTGTGGCTGTGCAACACGTGAAGCTGCACTGTGCTCACGGAGGAGCGTCTGCGTTTGCTTGACTTAAATATTTACTGTGTTTATGAAAATTGAAATGTCACAACTAAATTGTTGATTGTCTTTTGACATACCAATATGCAACCTGTGCATGCTTAAACATGTTTATAATAAAACATGTTGTTCCATGATCGCCTTGTACGTTTGGCATTCGCTTTAGCGTCTGTGTTACATCACTACATACAGAGCCGTTTTCACTCGGGGGTTGGCTTCCACTCATCCACTTGATCTTCCACAGAGCGCAGGGTGCAAAATGACTCCAACCTGGTCTACTCTACAGAGCACGTGCCAGTGGAAAACATCTTTGCTCTGTATCATGTTAGCACCCATCACAGGGAGCAAGTCCAAAAAACTTTCTCTTCCCAGGGAAAAACCTGGAAGCATTTTGATACTTCTCTGTGTGCATATGAATGCATGTTGTTGTTTTTTTCCCACTTCAAATGTTTACAGAGTTTTCGGGGGAGGGGGAGAGTATTACATGACTATTGTAGAACAGTATTTTAATTGAAAACTGACAGAGCAGGGGAAGAAATTCACCCAGTGCCAGCCCCCAAAAGCAGCTGTTAGTCACCTTCTTTTTATACCCTGTCTTGTGTGTCTATGAATTTCTTTACATTAGCATGCCCAAAGTCTTATTTGTACTTGACTTTAAAGTCTTCACACTGTAAACAGGATGCTATTATTCTTTTAGGCATAAGTTAATATCAAACACAAATAATATGCCTTTTGGGTGGTGTTCTAAATGCAGACACATCTTCCTGGAGCACTCTGAAGAGCCCAACCCACTTTTCACACAGTAGAGAGTTTTCTGCAACCGCAAAAGCCGCCCACCAAGCGGCTGGCCGCCTGCCCGTCCCTACCTCGTCGTCGTCCGCGTCGTACTGGGCGTAGTGCCGCTCCAGCAGCTCGCGCTGCCGCCTCTCCTGCTCCAGGGTCTGGCTGATCAGCTGGGCCACCTCGCTCACGTGTCCGGGTCGCTCCCGTCCAATCACAAATCTGTGAGAGGTTCAAGGGGACTAGGATCGTGAGACTGCCCAGGGAAAATGAGAGCTCTATAAAATGTCACACACACACACCTATGTCACTTACAAACTTCCCACGGCATGCCTGGGAGATGAAAGGGTTCCATCGTGGTTCGTGGTTCTCAACCTGGGGGTCGAACGACCCTTGCACAGGGGTCGCCCAGTTCATCACAGTAGCAAAAGGGCAGTGATGAAGTAGCAACGCAAACAATGTCATGGTTGGGGTCACCAGCACCTGAGGACCTGTGTGAACGGCCGCAGCACCAGGAAGGCTGAGAACCACTGCAGTCATTTTGATGGCACAGGCCAGGAGGGCAAAGGAAGACACAAATCACGCCCGCAGCCTCAAGCTAATTCCGACTTTTAGCAAACATATCTAGGGTTTCCGCGGCAAGGACGGTGGACAGCCTCTTTCTCCTGCGGAGCAGCCGGTGGGAGTGAGTCACCAACCTTTGGATTGGCAAAGCAACCCTCACCGACAGGGCCACCAGGCCTCCGCATCGGGCTACAGAAGAGGAACCGTAAGAGCCACAGCAATAGCTTAAGAATTATCACTCTAGGAGACGGTGTGACAACGGATTAATCCATCCTAAAGCACTTTACACATTTGGGACTCCTACAAATGAAAGCAAACTAATCATGAACAAGTCGTGCTGCCCACAGCAAGGCCAGTAGTTCAAAACCTGCAGCCGCTCCTAGAGAAAGATGGGGCTTTCTACTCCGGTCAATGAACAGTTAGGGTGTGGGAAACCCACAGGGGCAGTTCTACCTGTCCCATAAGGTTGCTATGAGCTGGCACCGACTTATGACAATGAGTGCGTGGGTAAGCACCACGTCACTTTGAATGTGATTCAGTTTAATCGCCTAATTCTTCCATACTTGAGGTTTTCTTACAGGGTAAGTTGCTATATTCAAAAATATTTAAAGTGAAATATTGCAGCATTCTCTGTAGAAATGTATGAAAAAGTAAGAGAAATTTAATTTTACAAAGATTTTTACAAAAATCCTTCCAAGCAGGATTTAGCTAGCATCTCAATATTTACCTGGGGGGAATCAAGTATTCATGGAATTTATATTCAATTTTTCATCTTCATTGAACAGAAACAGCAAGTTTAAAGGTAAGTGCACTAAGTTTAACAGATGTTTGCACCTATAATCACCATATTAATCAAGATATAGAACATTTTCATCAATCATTTCATGTGCATATTGGCCATTCTAATATATTCTGTGAGATATAATCTTTTCAAATCTTTTGCCCATTTTCTAAAGATTGCAGGGTTTGTTACCAAATTGAGAGGTTTCGTTACATATTATAAATACAAACCCTTGTCTGTACAAGGGTGTTTTCAAAAGCACATGGAAAAATGGATTTAAAAGGTAATGGAATTTTTCTCTGAATTTCTTGAAGCTCTTTCATATATAACACACACACATACACTTGTTTATTTCATGATCTTTTCCTAGTCTGTGGCTTGAAGTCCAGTTTATCACTTTTCAAAAATAAATATTTTGTTTTCTATCTTTAAAAAAATTGCCTGCCTTAAGATTGCTAAGATTTTATCCTATCCTATTCCTTTTTTAAAATTTTTAATTAGAGTATTCTAGCCCCTGGGTGATGCAAATGGATACAAAAGTCAGCATTAACTTCGGAGCCCCCTAAACACACTCTGTGGAATAACGTCTCGGCAGTCCACTCCTCAAACATCAGTCCCTGAAAACCCTCAGGAGCCCCAGACCTGCGTGGACCCAGCAGTAACTAGTTTTATCATGCCTTACTAATCAAGTTTTATATGTGTTGTATGGTAAGAGATGGCATTTCGTTTTTCCCCAAAGAGAGAAACGATCATCCAACGCCATTTGTTGAAAACACTATTCGTGATCCCTACTGAATTCCTTTGGCATATTTGTTTATAAGATTGAAGAGCCATGAAATCTTTATAACCTGACAAACTAATCTCATCAGATAATGACTATGTTGAACTTGTTTTCTTTTTGGTTAAAAGTTTAAAGTGAGAGATGATGTAGGCATACCAATATAAAGCAATTCAAAAATGCATACACTAGAATGATAATTTTAGAAAAATCTAGTTTGGCCCATGGTCTTTCTTTAAATTGCTTAAAAATGTAAAGTTGGTAAGAAACTGAAGGAAGTCAGTAATGTATAAAATATATATTTTAAATAAATATTAAAAAATAAAATCAAATTTAAATAAAATATATTTTAAATAAATAAAAATACATTTTAAGGAAGATCATATGAGATTAAAAGCATAAAATGACAAGTAAACCAAACTACGTATTATAATTAATTGCTGTTTGGGAGGTGTTGGTAGTGTGTTGCTGTGAGAAACTCCATGTGTGCAGAGTAAACGACTCCTCCATTGGTTTTCCGGCCATGGCCATTGGAAGCACACCATGACCCCTGTGTTCGAGTACGTTCCCGGTGGACCTGACTCTTCCACACTTTGGTGAGTAGTACAGTGCTTACCGGGTATGCGACTCAGGGACGCATAGAATTAATTCTATGAGAACAAACTAGATCATGATATAATTATACACATATAACAACAGATAAAAATCAATTAATAATGTGAAGTTTCTTTCCATCCACAAAAACAGAAAATATTTCAAACTGGAATTATTGTGAAACAAAACTAAAAGATATGGTTATTTTAATAAAAGTTTAGTATTCTACACTACAGTACATTATAAAAATAGCATTTTAAATCACTAAAACACAATTTGTAAAAATCACAGCTTGGCTTCCTGAATTTGTACCAACCGTTCAACAAATTACTATTTGCACAATATTAGTGTATACTGAAAAACACGTTTTACTCTGAAAAAAGATAAAAGATTTGAGGTTGCACAGAATTAGGTAGACCATGCCTCTCAAGAAATATAATCTCTGGTTCACCTATTTAGCTTTCAAAAGTATTATGTTAAGACACGCCTCTTCGTTCGGGCCAGTGCCTGTGCAAGACAGTGGGCGAGAACCCTGCTCAGGCCACGATTAAATGAGCACCTGCTTTGGAGCGTGGGCCGTTCGAACCCAGCACCTGCTCCACGCAGAACGAGCTGGGGATCTGCTCCCATGACCATTCATTCGCGGCCCTTGAGTCCACTCTGATTCATGGGACAGTCCAGCACGACAGGACAATGGATTAGCACCACCCCCACGGGTTTCTGAGATTGTAACTCTGTCAGAGACTCCGGCACTAAAGCCCCATCGTTCTCCCAGGGAGAGACGAGGTTGTGAACGGCAACTCATAGTCCAGCCTAAGAAGGCCGACGGGATAGCTGTGCTCTCTCCTGCTGCAATCTATTTTAGACCACACAAGATCCCCCAGCCAGGATCATTCCGAGTACAGAACTTGCAAAATAAAAACGTTATCTTGCTCAGTGTGGTCCTGAGGAAAAGTACACGGAAGTGAAATCCAATTACTCTCTAGGCCTCATGTGAAATTTAATGTTTACCCTCATCTGCTTCAAGGCTTCACTAAAGAATAAAATGTAATACAGGCCCGAAAGATCATTATGCCTCTATCATTATTTGTTTAACAGATTATTAAAAAGCCCCATTTCAAAAGTATATGTGAAAATCAAAATCCCTTTCTAAGTGCTTTTATGGGTTTAGTCAATTTTAAAACTATCAGTATGTCCTATCAGATTATATGGATAATCTACATAAAATTGAGTAGAAACTGAAAATTTTAAGGTTATTATTTCAATTATGAATTCAAAGAATATGGATGTGCAATAGTAGAACTTGAAGGTTGTAAGCATCTGTCAAAGAGGAAATCGGCATTGATAGGATGACCCAAGCAGACTGTACACATCATTTACTTGCTCCTCAAATTGCACTGTATCGATATTTTTAAACCTTACTTTCTTACTTTATAAAATGGGTATAGCAACTGCAACAAATAGTACAAAATCTCAATGCCCAATAAGTGTTTTGTAAAGGTTTCCTGTTGTTATTGCCTAGGTAATATATTGTTTTTATTATTTCTATAAGGTCCTGTTTTTAAAGTACAAGTTGTACACTTTGTACAATTATTCCAATGATGTCTTATTTGGTTACACTGGTTTTAAAAACCGAGTTAAATTTTATGAGGCAACCATGAGAACAAAGTATTTCTACTAAACAGTGCTCTTCAACTTTAAGTTGCCCATTGAAGTATAAAAATATGAAATTATATACTTCAAATGTAATTTTATAACCGTCACAAATATAATAAATAATGTCCTTTAAATAACTGGGCAATGTTTATTTCCCACAATCTAGTTCTGCATATTTAAGATATAACATTGACATCATCGACTAGCTTCTAACCTTAAGGGAAGAAAGGGGCTGAGACCAAGGGCTCAAGTAGAAAGTCAATGTCCAGAAAATAATGATGGCAACGGATGCACAAATGTGCTCGGTACACTCGCTGTACGGATTGCTATGGGAGCTCGAAGAGCCCCCAATGAAATGATCTTTCAATGAAAACAAAAAAAGAAAAAACAGACATTGTCTTGTCACTTTCAGTTATTTTTCTCAACAGTGAGAAGGGAGCAACCCCAAAACAGAATGGATATTTACATGAAAGCTTAGCGGATTCTAAGTTACGGTTTCAAAAAATGGAAATTCCAGAACTAAAATCTACAACTAGGATTTGTTTTATCTCGGCTTATTTCTGAGATTAAAATAAACATTTAAATGCATTTTATTCACTAAAAACTGTCTACTCTCCCTCTCAAGATAAAACACGGTCGGTTAAAACAGTTGAGTAAGTTTGTCCTTCACTGTTAACCCGTGATTAGACCAAGCACTGTCCACACACTGTCCCCCCAGAGTCTGGACAACTAGACCGCCCGGCACGCATCTGATTAGACTGCTGAATTATTTTGTGAGCTGCCAAGCACAAGCCAATTATAAGTTACATTTACAGTCTGCCAAAACAAAGTCATGAAGATATCTATCACATGTTCAGTAAGAATAATGTGAAGGTTTACATATCAAGAATAATGTGAAGGTTTACATATCAAAATTTGTTATTTTATCATCTTAAGATATAATTTGTAATAAATCTTTTATTATATCTAATAAAAGTGCTACTAGTCAAAAATGATATTCTAGTGATTTCAAAATTTGAAAATTCTCCATGTGGAAATGAACTAGCCAGAAAAGAGAAAGTGTCTAAGAGAATGTAGTTATTAGCACTAATACAAGGAATTCTTTAACAGTCTTTCAGTAAATATTTATTGGCTATGAAAAATCTGGAATGATAAATCAAAAGGAATTTAATATTAATAAACAATAGTTTATTATTTATAATATGAATTAGAGAAGCACAAGACTTATTCCCATTATGATGAGTTTGTACCATAAGATAACAGTGCTTTTAAAGATTTGTTAAAAGATCTCATTTTTTCACACTACATGAACTAACTGAGCTCAATCCTAGTGAGTAACTGTATATCTTAATTATTATACTAATCTAAAGGATTTTTCCCTACATTATATTTCAATGTTATAAGCACAGTTAAAGGATAATTATTGATCATAGGTAAAAGAGCGCTTTCAGGAAGCATTCAGCGTTTAATGCAAATGGCATTGAAAAGCAAATATATAAATTTTAGAAATTTCCTAAACTGACTCTTGAAACAAAACCTTCTTTCTATAACTTTCTTATAACTGATGTTCATCTGACGTAGGGTGAGTTACCTTAGTTAAAATGAACATTAAATCGAGTGACCACTCTTTCTAATGCTTTATAATTCTTACTATGCTTTCTTTAAATCTTTCCGTATTTACGTAAACATCTGTAGGATCCTATACAAAGAAACTTTTGTAGCTATTACACCGATCTGGTCAGCTTTATTAAATGCTCTCTATTTCTCAGAGTACTTAAGGAGAGAGTATGCAACATTAAAGCAATACATTATATTATGGGATAGCATTAAGATATCTGTCAGTTAACCCAAGAGGAAAACGAATTTTGGGAATGATGAGGGCAACAAATGTATAGGTGTGCTTTATACAATTGATCTATGTATTGTGATGAATTGTATGAGCCCCAATAAAATGATTAAAAGTAATAATAAAATTGTAATATTGATTGGGGGGAAAAAACCTCCATTAATT